TGGGGATTGTCTTTTAACATAAAGTTCAGAGTGCTGTAATGAGGAAGTCATACATCTTTAGTGATACAGAATGTCTCTGGAAAACCAGGGGTCTGCCCCTCTTTTTCTCTCTCTGATCCAGGGGGTACGGAATAACCTACCACATATTATTCAAAGTACCCTTGGAAATTGAAGTATGTTGTCTTTAATTTTCTAGAATTGCCTAAATATTGATTTCTCTACAAAGCTGTGGAGGCTTAATGGTTTTATAGTGTGTTTTTCTCTTTTACTGTTTCTTTGGTGTGTTTTAACAGTATTTCTGAGTTCTTAACAGTTTGCTAGGTGATAGTAGATTCTTTTGTGTCAGACACTGTGGTGAGTTGTTTTTGAGATTTGTAAGATTTCTTTGAGAACTGATAATCAAGCTCTTGATCTGTTTCCTTAAATTATTTTTATTAAGAGCCCAAACCCAGATTCAGGGTGAGGGTTTGTAATACAAAGAAAAACTTTCATCACTTCTGCCCTTAACACTTGCCTTTATTAACTAAGTTTAGTATGTAGTTTTTTAAAATATTGTCCAATGTTTGGTGTGTCTGCATTGTTTTGTGGTTATTCTTGATGTGTGAAATTTAGGGAAAGAGCCATTTTAAAAATGCCACGCAGGGCAATGCAAGTACAGCCAAATATTAGAGTTGATGTGCAATCTTAGGTTCTTTTAACTCTGGGGTGTTATAGGCAGTACTTTAAACTGAAAAAAGTCTTCCTGGCCTATTTTCCTCCACATATTTGTGACTTCTCCTGGGGGCTTACTTGTTTTGGCAGTAAGAAGCTGGTCCTTTTCTCACAATTCTTTTCATATTAAAGAAAAACACCGAGAATTGGCCTGTTGGTCCTTCTTACATCAAAAATCAGTGAATGCTTTTCTATTAGCACATTTAAATACCTTTTACATAAAATTAGATGCATTTGAAACCAGTGACCTTCGTACTCTTCCTGAGCTCATAAAATGCCAGTAATTTAAAGCTAGAACTACCCCAACCCTCCCTTAAATCAAGGAGGTAGGACATAGTAAAGTTCACTCAAACAAGATAATGTTTTCATTTTCGTTATTAGGTTCCTCCTATGGGGAAAAATTTCCCAAACATGGGGAAGGGGAAATTCACTGTTTTTTTGACCCTTAGGGGTTTGCTGCACTTTTCTTTTTAGACCTGGGTAACAATATCACCATGCCTTCCTTCCAATGGGCAAATGCACTCTTAGAGCAACTTTCTAGGTTCAAGGGTTAATTGTACAACATGAACTGTTCAGAGTCTTTTACTTTCTGTGGGAATTTGGGCTTAATAAGGAAAAGCTGTTGTTTGTGCTAATGTAAAAATGTCATACAGTTAGCTCTACTTTTGAAGACGGTAAACAAGGAATTGCATGTTGTTCTGAAATACAGACTTGTAGAATGTTTTCTTTCTTTAAAACAGGCTGATCTCTTCCCTCTTCCCCTTTTCCTGATATCCCAGTTTCAGTTCCTATTTAAAATTCTTGTGTCAGTTATTTTTCTGGCTTAAATTTCCCGTATCTCCACCTGTAATGTAAGTGGCAACATCATACTTGTTAATTTACTTTACCCTTATAAGAGCCAATTGAGTTTAACTGAATCTTCCTTGTCCTAGTAAACATTGTATAAATTAAAGTGGCTTCTCTGTACAAAAGGTTGTAATGCCTCCTTATGGGTATAATTTTGTGATTGTATTTAAGATTAAAAGTTGAACAAATCACACCAGCTTCCTGAAAATGTTCATAATGCATTGTTTGGAAAACAAAAATACATGCCTACTTTGTGCATATTTGCGTTACCATGGCAAAGATTGTATGAAATACCTGTTTTTCAAAAAATAAAGATTAAAAAGATGTAGCATTTAAGCTCTGAATTTATTGGTTGAAATAGTTTCCAGGAAACTTAATTTTGCAATATGGGTAGCTTCTTAATAGTATATATTTATTGATTTCAGAGAGGAAGGGAGAGGGAGGAGAAATAGAAACATCAGTGATGAGAATCACTGGTTGGCTGCCTCCTGCACACCCCCCACTGGGGATAGAGCCCATAACTGGGAATGTATCCTGACCAAGAATTGAACTGTGACCTCCTGGTTCATAGGTCCATTCTCAACCACTGAGTACACCAGGCAGGCAGGTAGCTTCTTTTAAAGCATGAATATCTCTAGAAATTAATTTTTTTTTTCGCCCTTCAAAGTTCTATAGTATTTTTGAACAGCAGTGGAAATTTTACTTCAATGGGAAAGGTCTTAACAAGATACAATTAAGCTTAATTTTGTCAATATTTAAAAACAATCTATAGCCTAGCTGGTTTGGCTCAATGATAAGAGCGTCAGCCCATGGACTGAAGGGTTGGAAGTTTCATTAGGTCAAGGGCACGTACGTGTGTTCAAAGTACCCTGGCCCTGGTTGTGGTGCACGCGGGAGGCAAACCAATTGATGTCTCTCTCACAAAGATGTTTGTCTTCCCAATCCTCTAAAAAAATCAATGGAAAAAATATCTTAAGGTGAGGATTAACAACGAAAATCACAAAGCTGAAACTGGTTTGGCCTCAGTGAATAGAGCTTGTGGACTGAAAGGTCCCAGGTTCAATTCCTGTCAAGAGCATGTACCTTCGTTACGGGTACATCCCCAGTGGGGGTGTGCAGGAGGCAGCTGATAGATGTTTTTCTCTCATCGATGTTTCTCTATCCCTCTCCCTTCCTCTCTGTAAAAAATCAATAACATTTTTTTTTTTTAAATCATTGACGAGAACATTCCCTGGGATATGAAAGCCTGAAGGAAAATTTTAATGTCCCGCTTGTTTTATTCTCTGGAAGTCAGACTGCATTTGTTGCCGCTAGATAGTGTCAGCTGTTTAGTCATCTGGCACGTTTTGAAAGATCACATCCTGTTTTTGCAGTACAAAAACAAAGCTGCACTAAGGGTAGGTGTTTTTTTAATTAAGCCGTTTGGAAAGTTGAGAGACCTTATAGCAGTGCTCTTGGGCTGTGAAGTTGCAAATAGCTCTGGGGACACACTCCTCCAGGAAAAAAATACTCCTGAAGAACCTGTTGCTGCCTGAGCTGCTCCCATTTTTTTCACCTACCCAATTTCACAAGTTGTGTTGAGTCTTAAGTTGTACATAAGGAAATGGGTGAAAACCAGAAGTAGTTACCAAAGTAGAAATGGGTTATTTCTTGTTTTTTGTTTTTTTAGATATGTCACTTTCTAAAGCCTAATAATGCCTCTTGTTTAGAAGTGGGTGTTACTGTGCCTCTAGCAAAATGTTGCACTGGGTGCTCAATATAATGATTGAGACTATTGCCTGCTGATTTTCTTTCGAAGAGGGAGGGGAGGGCCTTGCTCTCAAACTTAATAGCTATTAAAAATCTCCCAAAATGGGCTCTCTAGATCAGCTCGGTGCATCTTACCTACATTTCCCATCTCCCACCCAATAATAGTCCCCAAAATAGCACTTTATTAGAGTCCCTTTCCCTTACAAAGGCTTCCCTCCCTCACCATCCAGTGTTTACATCTGAGCCAGATGATTTCCAAAGATCCTAACCTTTCTTGAAATACATAATGCTTCTGTCCGCCTGGCTTTCTGTGCTCTGTCACTACATCCTCTCACATTTCTTTATGCCGCCTCTGAACTTTTAAAAGGGCCTCGTACTTATCTACATGTTTTAAAACATTTAAATTCAATAGCATAATGCAGAATAAAAGGATAAAAAGCTGTAAGTCAAAACGCTTGGTAAGACTTCCTAAAACAGACATCTGACCAGGTCAACATTTGGCATGAGTTTGAATGATGAAAACCAAAGCGCTTGTTACTTCATTTTAAAATCCGGGAGAAGACGTAGAAGTGCCTCAAACGTTCACCCAGTTCCTAAATTGCTTAAGAATCCCACTGCTGCCAAGACCGGTTTGGCTCAATGGATAGAGCGCATCAGCCTGAGGATTGAAGGGTCCTGGGTTTGATACCGGTGGAGGGCATGTACCTTGGTTGCGGGCACATCCCCAGTAGGGGGCGCGCACGAGGAGCTGATCGATGTTTCTCATCCATGTTTCTCTCTCCCTCCCTTCATCTCTGTAAAAAATCAATAAAATGTATTTTTTTTTTTTAAATCCCACTGCTCATGAGGTTTCCGTCTTAAGGAAGGTTGTCAAAACCAGCACTTTTGGAGAGGGAGGTCAAGTGCCCCATAAGCCGGCTTTTATAAAGCGGTGCCTTTTCCACGAGTTCTCAAGCCAAGTCCAGATTACCTCTCCCCACCCCGTCCCAAGCCAAAACCCTCTTCTAATGGGAAGGAACAATGCGGAACACTTCAGTGGTGGGCACGGGTCTCGAGTCCCAAGCCTGGGCTGAGCCTGGGCTTGGCCGGGGCGGCGGACGCCAGGACTAGAGGGCAGGGCCCCGAAGGCACGGCCCCCCGGGCGGGTGGGGAAGAGGAGCCCGGCCCCTGCGCCCCTCCATCGTCCGAGGTTAGGGAAGACATGCCCTCCTCCGCCTGACACTTGCGCGGCTTATTTCTTCGAGAACTATACATCCCAGCCTCCTGAGCTGCTCCGAGGCTCAGCAGAAGGTCCGCGTCAACCGGCGGCGGCGCCCATCCAGGGGCCACGACCGCGGCCCGGCGTAGGCAGGAGCCGTTCAACCGCTTCCCGCAGGCCTGCGCGGGGCAGCGCACCCCTCCCGGGCGCTGATTGGCCACCCGGTGTCCCCGCCCCCTCGGTCCTGCTCAGCGCCTCGCTCTCCTTTGACCTCGATTTCAAGCCAAGCGCTGGGCAGCGGTTGGTCCGCCTCCCCCTCAGCTTGAGTTCGACTCGCCCAATGAGGAGCGAGCTTCGCGGGGAATGTCGGGAAAGGCCGCCGGCCTATATAAGGGGTTTACTGGGCGTGTCGCCGCGCCGGGGTCGCCGTGCGGATCCGGGACGGAGGCTGGTGCGGAGGGGGCCGTGGGCTCGCTGAAGCGGCACCTGGGAGACGATGGCCGAGGGAGACAATCGCAGCACCAACTTGCTGGTGAGTGCCGGCGTCCGTCACAGGGGAAACAGGTGGGCTCGGCCCGGCGGTGCTGCGGCCTCGTGTTTCTACCCCGCGGCGGCCCGGCCCTCCCCGGGATCCCTGGCGCCGGCCACAACGTCTGCGCCTCGGGCTTCTCGGGTAGCTTCTGCTTGGCGGTGTTTAGTCCTGCCGACCCCTGACATCCTCTGGGGAAGGGGAAGAGGAGGGTGCGCCATCAGGCATCGCAAACACGGGATGAGGAAGAAGAGGGAAGGGGGGAGGGGGGCTGTGGCAAGCCTGGGGTGCAGCCTCAGGCAGAGAGAGGGCCTCCGCGGGCCTGGCGAGAGCTTTTGGGGCCTGGCACCCAGGTGTATCGGATCGCTCCGCTTGGATCGTCACCAGGATGCCCCTTGGTTCTTTTTGTTTCCCCCCCATGCTTGGGCAATGGGAGGAGGGTCAAAGGGCTGTTGCTGAACATTTTCTGGTAGAGCTGAAAATTTCTGGCAGAGTGGCAGCGAGGTCACCGCAGAGAAGTTGGGGGGGAGTGAGGGTCCCGCTGGAAGGACAGTGGGAGGAGAGGACCAGGCGTTTGTCTGGAATGTGTAAGTCGGGGGGTCGCAGGACGAGTTCAGGATGAGCAGGGGTCCGAAGGGGCTGGAGTGAGGTGGTAGCAGAGGCGGACACATGTACCCTCACTGTGGGTCTCAGGGCGGCACGCTGTAATCAACAAGGAGAGGAACCGGTGCATTTTTCTCCCTTTCCTTTCCCCAGGGAAAGGCAGGCCACACACCACAACCACAGTGACTAGGAGGAGCAAATAATTTAATAATTTTTGGCTTTTGATTCCAATAGCCCAGGTGCTGTAAAAGATTAAGAGACTTTGCAGGGTAGTTTGTGTGTGCATTTGTGTTTTAGAAATGCATGACCACACACACACACACACACACACACACACACACCTACACCTCTACCTCCTTTCCTCTCTCCCTCTATAGTTGGCCAGGTTCCTTTTAAGAGGATTGATCAAAGCCGAGAGTTGCCAGAGTTCGCACCGCTATTGAAATGACAGTTCGTGGACTGGAGCTCAAATACTCTTTCCAGCAGAGCAGTGTGTAACTTCAAGGACAAAACGTTTTGCTACTTCACATTAGCTCATTCTAGATTGTTCTCATAAGTTTAAGAAGCACTGTAGAAGATAACATACATTTATAATTTGATAAAAAGTAGTTTTCCTTATTTGTGCAAATGACGTCAACATCTAAATGATTCCCTTACACAAAGAGCTACTACTTGAGAATTTTATTGAGTGCTATTCAGGGAAAGGCTGCTATCCTAATGGACTTAGAAGCTGGGGTTTAAATCGATGAAATGACAAAACAGCAAATCAATACTAACCACCTGCAATGATCGAATATAAAGATCTAATTTTATACTGTGGGTACTGTGCTTGGTAGTGCATGACTTTGGGAAAGTTGGTTAATCATTCTTTAATGTAAAATGGGTCTTAATTATCTCTACCTTATAATTGAAGTAGTAACCTGGTTCTTAGATTTGGAAAGTGACCATTAAGTGATTTTTCCCCCACCTCCACTGATTTTTGTCATTGGCACCAAAATTGTAGTTTTTTAAAGAAACTAATTTGTTTCACATAGTGATTTGGTTAACAGCTGTTTTATATATTTGATGTCTTAGAGGAGTTTAATTCTCTAGGATTAATTTTCAGAAATGTTGAGTGTAGTAAATGATGGCTTTCAATATTGGTCGTGTGCAGGCTGCAGAGACTGCAAGTCTGGAAGAGCAGCTGCAAGGATGGGGAGAGGTGATGCTGATGGCTGACAAAGTCCTCCGATGGGAAAGAGCCTGGTTCCCACCTGCCATCATGGGTGTGGTTTCCCTGGTGTTTCTGTAAGTGAGCTATTCAGTTACTTAAGATGGTGTTTGTTATTAATAAGGAATCAGGTAATACACAGCTTCCATTATGGAAGTGTCTTTGTAATGCCTAATCCGTAAAGAGAGCAGTTTGCCCAGTGTTTAGGATTTGTAGTACTTTGTGAACTCAGTAACATAATGCAGTTGAATAAATCAGTGACTCAAACTGTATGGCCTTAGAACCCTTCACACTCCTACAAAGTATAGAAGAGCACAGAGAGCCTTACTCTCTTGGAATTTACAGTGCAGCTATAATGCCTTCATGTCATGAAGCTTCCAGAAAACAACTTGTGAGATAATTAGAATGAAAAGGCAAATAACATCTGTGCGAACCAGAGGGATAAGTGAATAAACATCTTCATGTAGGAAAAGGGACCATGTTTTTCTAACTTTTATTAAATTTTTTTTTTAAACAGGAATATCTATTATCTAGATCCATCTGTTCTATCTGGTGTTTCCTGTTTTGTTATGTTTTTGTGCTTGGCTGACTACCTTGTTCCTATCCTGGCGCCTAGAATTTTTGGCTCCAATAAATGGTAAGTGGCATGATAATTTGGCATTCTATTATAATCTCTGAGAAATTACCCTGTTGGCTGTGATTAGTATTCTGTAACTAATCACAGAGAAGTGTCTAACCATCAGATACCTAGAGGTTAGATGCAGTGGTTTTTATATGAAGATTTTTTTTTTTAGCTCATTCATATATAAATAATTAGTTCTCAGTACTTATTTAGAAACCTAGTGCATGAAATTGGTGCATGGGTGGGGTCCCTAGGCCTGGCTAGCGATCAGGGCTGATCTGTGGGGTGACCAGTGGGGTGATGAGGGCCCCAGCTCACACCTGCCTTGGCTGGCCTGGCACAGCTCCTCATCATTGCAGCTGGTTGGAGCCTGTGGCCTGGGGGCAGCACCTGGGGGTATCCCCCTATGATGGTCGGTGTGCGTCATAGTGACTGGACGTTCCTCTGGTCATCCTGCTGTTCAGTCAATTGCCATGTTAAGTTTTATATAGATAGATAGATAGGTCTTTTGTGGTCTGACATTTATTTTGGCTTTTTAAATATATTATTGATTTTTTTTTTTTTTACAGAGAGGAAGAGAGAGGGATAGAGAGTTAGAAACATCAATGAGAATTATCCATCAGCTGCCTCTTGCACACCCCCTACTGGGGTTGTGCCCGCAACCAAGGTACATGCCCTTGACTGGAATCAAACCTGGGACCTTTTCAGTCCGCAGGCTGACGCTCTATCCACTGAGCCAAACCGGTTTCTGCTATTTGATTTTTTAAAAGACCTTTTTATTGAAGTGAGAGGGGGCTTTTTTAGGTAAATATTTTAATTAAAATATTTTATCAAGGATGGTAGAACTCATGAGCTTTGCATAAAAGTAGTATGTTGTCATTTTATATTTGTTCCCATTGATATTTAAGATAGTATATAATTTCACAAGTTATTTTTGAATGAATACAAAAACAGTAACTGGTAAATTTTTGTCCATTCATTTAGCAACTATTGAATATCTACTTTTTTTGTTAGGCACTGTTCTGGGTGCTATGAAATATTTTTAAGATTGGTCTTGTGTTTAAGGTTGAAATGTTGAGGCAGTGAAGTGGTAGTTAGCTTAATGCCTAGCAATTATTTCAGAGTAGGTTCAAGTTGTATATACAAGTAGGCTGTTAATTTCATTTATACCATTCTTTGAATTAGTCACTGAGTTCCCAAGATATATATTGCTAAGTGGCTAGGGATCATATTATAGAATTTCTCTTGTGCTTTTAGCTTTTTGTTCCCCAAGTAATAGCAAATTATTAAATAATTTGTAAAAGGAAAATTTTTAAATGTAAGCCCTTGGGTTTTTGAGAAAAATTCAGACATTTTTTAGGAAGTTTGCTTAAGTTATAGAATAAATATGTTTATTTAAAGATGTTTTCCCATAGCAGAATGGATGAATATTAGGAAGTGTCCTTTGAATTTAATTGTTTTTCACATTCAGTAGTGAATTATACTACTGTGTTTTGGGCAAGTTTGTAACAATGCTGTATAAAAATTTAACAAGTGAAATCAGCTTCTGACCTTGACTTTATCAGCCAGATGGTATTTTAATCTGCTAATTCCTAATTCCTGGAAAAAAGTTTTCGGAAATAAACACTGAGTTTCATGGTAAATCTTATCAACAGAGCAGTGTTATTGTTTGATCTTTAAGGGGAAGGAAGAACACTGCTGCATGACCACAACCCAGCCTTGAACATGGGCAACATATAAGGTTGAAATTGTTTACAAGAAGTCCCAGGGCCCCGCAGAAATCCTCCTACTGTATCTCTTACTGCAGTTTCCCAGGGATGGGACTAGAGGAGAGAAGATAATACATCCCCCAGCTTAGGGCCTGCTGTTTTGTTATTAATCCTCACCTGAGGATGTTTTCTATTGCTTTTAAGAGAGAATGGGAGAGAATGGAGGGAGGGAGGAGGAAGGGAAGGGGGAGAAGAGAGAGATATGAGTGATACACATATCTCCTGCATGTGCCCCTAATAGAGCCAGGGATTGAACCTGCAACCAAGATACATACTCTTGATAGGAAATTGAACCCAAGACTCTTTGTTGTTCTAACCATTGACCCACACCAGCCAAGGCAGGCCTGCTTTTTTTTTTTTTTTTTTTTTTTTTTTTTAATATATTTATTGATTTTCCAGAGAGGAAGGGAGAGAGATAGAGAGTTAGAAACATCGATGAGAGAGAGTCATCGATCAGGTGCCTCTTGCACACCCCCTACTGGGGATATGCCCGCAACCAAGGTACATGCCCTTGACCGGAATCGAACCCAGTCCCCAAGCCATTGAGCCAAACCGGTCCCGGCCAGGCCTGCTTTTTAATAGTAGCCATTGTATCTGTATAATAAAGACAGTACAATGGCAATTTTTTTGTTTTGTTTTTGTTAATCCTCACTTGAGGATTTTTTCCATTGATTTTTAGAGAGAGTATTTCTCTCTAAATACTCTCTAAATACTTTAGATCGTGTATTTCTGTTTACTGGGGGACAGTAAACAGGGAGAGGGAAACATTGAGATGAGAGACATTTTCTTTAGAAGATAGCTTTTTAAATATGAGAGGATAGTGTATTTCTGTTTACTGGGGAACAGTAAACAGGGAGAGGGAAACATTGAGATGAGAGAGAGACATTGCTTGGTTGCCTTCCACACAAACCCTTACCAGGGATTGAGACTACAGCCAAGTCCATGCCCTTGACCAAAATTGAAGTCAGGACCCTTCAGTCCTTGGGTTGACGCTCTATTCACTGAGCCTGACCTGGCAATTTTACATAGTAAATAAAAAAGGGCTTTCTTGCTGAAACCGGTTTGGCTCACTGGTAGAGCGTTGGTCTGTGGACTGAAAGGTCCCGGGTTCGATTCCGGTCAAGGGCATGTACATTGGTTGCGGGCACATCCCCAGTAGGGGGTGTGCAGGAGGCAGCTGGTCGATGTTTCTCTCTCATCGACGTTTCTAGCTCTCTCTCCTTCTCTCCTCCTCTCTGAAAAAATCAATAAAATATATTTTTTTAAAAATCAATAAAATATATTTAAAAGGGGGGGGAGGTTTTCTTGGAGGATCTTTTTGTATTTTTACTGCTGTTTTATGATTATATTATCCCCCAGTGGGACTAAACTTACATTTGAGTTGTGGGTGGCTGCCCTGGCATCAAATGTATGAAGCCAAGTTGAAGTATTATGCTGTGAATGCTGGTAGTTATCATCTCACTGAAAAGTGCTCAAATACAGTTGTTTGGTAGAAACTTCACATCTTCCTCAAAACAGAGGGATTCTACAGGGCTACAACCTAGGATCTGGAAAACAATAAAGAATAGAGAAATTAATTTGCACCATAGGACATAATTTCTGCCCAGCCTATAGTAGTTTCTTTATCATTAACCAAATGTGGCTTTAGAGCCAGAGAGTACCATTACTTTGTACATGCACATGTACAAGTATGTTTACATAAGAACTTATTCCTGTGCTATCCAAGGTGGGTTGTTTTTTTTAATTGTCTAAAGTTTTACATATGTCTCCTCAGAGGTGTTTTAATGGTACAAAATTTTTCACCTTTATAAGTAATGAAGAATCGTTTTCTATTTAGATTTTCTTTAGAAGATAGCTTTTTAAATATGAGAGGATAGTGTATTTCTGTTTACTGTAGAGATATGCTTCTAGTGAAAGGGAAATTCTTTTTCTAGGACCACTGAGCAGCAGCAAAGATTCCATGAAATTTGCAGCAATCTAGTAAAAACTCGTCGCAGAACTGTGGGCTGGTGGAAACGCCTCTTCACACTGAAGGAAGAAAAGCCGAAAATGGTACTTTTTTTGTTTTGACTTACTCAAGTAAAGCAAAATTTTAAGGTTGAGTCAGTTTTTACTTCAGTGTAATATAATGATAGCCTTTTTGTTTGAATATTAGAGCCTATAGTTTGATATTTATCATCCATTGCTTTAATTTCTTTGGAGTGTATTCATTAATGCATGTCTGTATTAGACTGAGTCACTACAAGTTAAAATTACATTTTACACTTAATTTGTATTCTAGTAGAGTGGAATCTTTCTTTTTTCATACTGAAATAAAATAAGAGACATATACTTAGAAAGCATTTATTTTCTATTTTTAAAATTTATTTATTGAGCCCTGGCCACTTTGGCTCAGTGGATAGAGTGTCGGCCTGTGGACCAAAGGGTCTGGGGTTCAATTCCAGTTGAGGGCACATACCTAGGTTGTGGGCTTGATCCCCAGTAGGGGCATGTGGTGGGTAGCTGATCAATGATTCTCATCATTGATGCTTCTATCTCCTGTTTCCTTCCTTGCTGAAATCAGTAAAAATATATATATTTTTAAAAAGCCCTAGCTTATTTGGCTCAGTGGATAGAGCATCAGCCTGCGGACTGAAAGGTCCCAGGTTCAATTCGTCAAGGGCACATGCCCGGGTTGCTGGCTTGATCCCCAGTAGGGGGCGTGCAGGAGGCAGCCAACCAATTATTTATGCATTCATTGCTTGACTCTTATATGTACTCTGTCGGGATTGAACCCATAACCTTGGAGTACCAGCATGATACTAACCAACTGAGTACCTAGCCAGGGCTAGCATTTGTTTTCTTAATTCAGCTTCATATAAAGTTACTATGTGAAGTTACTAATTGTAAAAGTTGTATCATTTATATTCTAAAGTATTTAATTTAAATATAGAATTACAATAGTTCTATGATGGATCCAAATTCTATAAAGCCAGATCTAATGGAGTTTTCCGTTTGTGTGTGGAGGAAGGGTGGGGAGAGTTAATATGTTTTTATTGATATCAGAGAGGAAGGGAGAGATAGAAACATAAATGATGAGAGAGAATCATTGATCAGCTGCTTCCTGCACGCCCATCCTGCACTGGGGATTGAGCCCGTGACCCAGACATGCCCTGACTGGGAATCAAACCATGACCTCCTGGTTCCTAGGTCGATGCTTAACCACTGAGCCACACTGGCCAGGCTCTACGGTTTTATATACTAAATATAGATACCAACCATTTTTAAAGAAAAGTGGTAATAAAAACAATCATTTTCCAACCTTTAAAATGACTATTAGTCTGTTTCTAGGAGTTGACACATCCTATTATTTTCATTATTAGTACTTCATGACCATGATCATATCTCTTGCTGCGGTTGCTTGGGTGGGACAGCAGGTCCACAACCTTCTTCTCACCTACCTGATCGGTAAGTCTTTGAGGACACGGGCACATTCTGGGCAATGAAGTCTAACGAACTTTAACAAATGTGTGTGCTCAGTAAGTTTAAGGCACTCATCAAGGACTGTGGGAGTCTAGAAAGATGTCTAAAATCCAGGTCCTTGTTTGTGGTCTTGTAGGAAGTTAAAACAACATAATGACCAGGTAGGAAGAAATGCACAGAAGGTAAAAAGGAGCAGTGTGTGTCATCTGAGGTTGGGAGGTATATCCAAGTTTCTGGGATATTAATAGAAGTAATGGATTTCATATTGCTTCCTCCCAGTAGAATGCCTAATAGTTCGGGACATTACCTTCTCCAGAATGTATAAACATTTAGGAAGTGAATTACTGCCTCCTTAACTTGGTTTGTTTGTTTATTTTTAAGTGACTTTCTTACTGTTGCTTCCTGGACTAAACCAACATGGAATCATTTCGAAGTACATTGGAATGGCCAAAAGAGAGATGAACAAGCTTCTTAAGCAAAAAGAAAAGAAAAATGAGTAATGCATCTTCTTTATTTAGTGTGGTTAATGGAGTATACATTGTGTGGGAACAGTTTCTATTGCCTGGATACTGAAGTGTTACAGAGTAGCTCTTTGCTCTCACGCCTTCTGCCCTTAGTTACTAGAAATTCAGATTTGCCACACAAGGCTTTATACAGTGTCTTCATGTCAAGTGTATCTGGGTGCATTCTCAGCAGTTGGCCTTATATGGACAACTCATGAATACAACTTGTTTTGATTTTTCTCACGCAGGGTTAATTGACTTCTTACTTATAGGCAGCTTCCTTTAAAATTATACAGCAATGAACTTCAATTGTTAGTACAGTTAACAAATGGCTCTGGATAATTGTTCAAGTTGATCTTTGTTCTGGCTAGATACAAGGTATATTGAGTGGCCTATGGCTATAGGAAACTGATTGTACCGTCTCCTTCCCAGTCTGCTTAAAAAATGTCTAGCTTCAAGAATATAGAGACTTGAGGGCATATGCTGGGGGTTGGGGGGTGGCCAGGGAGAAAAAGGAGACATACGGAATACTTTAAACAATAAAAAAGGAACAGGTAAAGAAAGAAAGGAAGAAAAAAAAAAAAAAAGAATATAGAGATCAAGTTTACCACTTCAATGAAGAGACCATTTCTGTTTCTGTACCAGGGAGAAGCATCCTCATGAAATAAAATGAAACTAATACATGCTCTACTTTGTGTTGGTTTCTCCCTTGTGCAAAACTGAGCAACTGATCCTCTGAAATGGGGAGTCTGACAGTTTAAGAGCTCTTGTCCCGTTGCACCTACCTTTCAAGTTAGTAGGTCCTAAAGGCTTTTCAATAGCAGACTTCCAAAAACTTGAACTTGGGATTTTTAGCATAGTTTTAGTTTCAGATTGTCAGCTGTCTAAAACTAAAGTACATAAGAGATGAAGACTCGTGCCTATGACTTTTACTCTTAAGACCAGCTAATAAAGGACAAAAGTCTTCTTTCTGTGTTTCATCAAGAGTCAGTAGAAAATAATTTTCTCCCACTCATTTTTCAACTCTCATTTTATGGTAATATTGGCTGCTTGGTCCCCATAGATTTGGTCTAGAAGGTGCCATTCTACTGGCATCTGACTTTTTTCCCTAGATGTTTCTCAAAAAATTATAAGGGCTGTTGGTGAGAGCAAACTTGTGTAGATGATATATGTCCTTAGGTCTATAACAATGTTCTAACTCTTGGAAAGCGTTTTAGAATTATTTTCCCTTTCAGTAGCTAGATGTTTAAAGTAGTTGAAATCTGTGGAATGAACCTTTTAAGGGCCGAAAATGTGACATACTTGGAAACAATTCTTTAATTCTGATTAACTAGCTGTAATATAGTTCTGTGAATTTATTGCACTGATGCTGTAAAACCTGGATCTTGTGGTATATCTGTCTCTAAGTGTTGTTTTCTCCCCTTCAATATTGTCAACAGTGCAACCATGTAGCATATGTTTGAGTTTTTTGTTTCATATGAAAACTACAAGCTACCTTAATTTACATGTATTTCCTCGTTGTAAATAAGCCTGTCCTCTTATCTGGATTGTTTTGTGTGTACATGTCCTACCAACTACTTTTGTGATTTTAATTCTGTTTTACTTCTTCTACTTGGTTTTGTGAAAAGGGGAAAAATAAAAGCTGGTATCCCTTTTTGTGTCCTGTTTCTTTCTACCTTAGCCAGTACAATATTTACATGAGTGGATTTATGAATCTGATTAATGAACTACCCATGCGTGATCAATACATGCCAATAAAGTACTCTTTAAGAACAAAATAAAAGGTTTAAATTTATTCATTCAGCAAACATCCAGGCAAAATGCTAGATGCAAAAGGAAATGAATAAGTGATAACCAAAAATGATGTGTGAAAAGGCCAACCTGGGAGAACAGGCAGGAACAATGCAGGCTCAAGGGAGTGCCTGCCCTGGGCACCTCTGTACCTCAGGGTACATGAGTTAGTAAGTAGGCTAGGCGGTGGATGACTTACCTGTACATGGAACTTTTTGTTTTTTTATTAGAGCTCAAATTGGATGTTTTATCATTGGACCTCACTGTCTACTTAGAGTATCTTCGGAACAGATTCAATCAAATTAAATTCTGAGGCCTACATCCACACACCACCACCCTCCCCTCCCCCACAGAAAATGTTTGGATCCTCTTGGGGATTTATTGTAAATTCCAAACAGGGAAGTCTCAACAGAAAATCACCATAGGTGGCTGCCTGATACTTGGAAATGCTGAATTTAGATATGCAGCTGTGATTGCATCTCAGGCTGGCCAGTCCACATTGGCTGGCTTCCTTCTCATGCTAGTCTGGCTACGCTTGTGCCAGTTCTGACCACAGCAAAAGTCCCGTTTTGACACTTGCCTTGGCATTACCTCCAGTGGTGGTCTTATCATTCCAGATTCACAAAATGTCCAGAGGAGGCTATTTGGAGATAGTTGTGCTAAAAAGAGTAAAGATTTGGTAGTTTTGCCGAAACCGGTTTGGCTCAGTGGCAGAGCGTCAGTCTGCGGAATGAAAGATCCCAGGTTGGATCCTGTCAAGGGCATGTACATTGGTTGTGGGCACATCCCTAGTAGGGGGTGTGCAAGAGGCAGCTGGTGGATGTTTCTCTCTCATCGTCGTTTCTAGCTCTCTATCTCTCTCCATTCCTCTCTGAAAAAAAAAAAAAAAAGATTCGGTAGTTTTTAGGACAGGTGCTTTAATGCCAGTTCATCTTCCGCATGGTTGCCATTTATTTAGCCTCACCTGAGGATATGTCTATTGACTTTAGAGAGAAGGAAGAGAGTAATATCGGTGTGAGAGAAACATTGATTGGTTGCCTTCCATATACACCCAACTGAGGATTGAACCTGCAACCTAGGTATGTGCTCTTAACAGAAAAGGAACCTGCAATCTATTAGTGTATGAGATGACTCCAACCAACAGCTACCCAGCCAGGTTCCGTTGTCATTTAACAATCAGGTCGTGATTAATCCTATTTGAAGCCCTCAGCAGGTTTCAGTTTGCCTACAGCATAAATCACAAACTTGTAGTTTATACCTGGTCCTTCCCAATTCCAACCCAGCCATTCTGAGATTTTTGTCCATCTTTATTCCATGCCCTCTACGTTCTTGGAGCTGTTGTAAAGCCTGAATATCTGCTGCCTATTCACCCTAACATTTTAGGGTTGGGTAGACCTAGATCCAAACCCACTTTTTTTTTTCTTTTTGACTTTCAAAACTAAAAAAAGTTAAGATTGAGTCAATTTAAAATTGAACTACGTCTTCTCATTTGTGAAATGAAGATAATAGTATAGATCTCATAGGGGAAGTATAAGACCCCATTTGTTTTGTGGATTCAATAAATTAATCTACAGGAAGCACTTAGTGGCAGTCACAAATTAGACATCGTTAGACTTCACAACACATCAAATTGCATTTCCTCTGTGAAAGCTTTAGCAACATCCCAGGCCACCTCGGCATTAACACAGCACTTCTTCATATGGGCAAACTACATGGCACATTGTGTGGTATTGTGCTATTATTTAGACTTCTGTCTCTTAAGGCAGAAACATATTTTTGTCCCCTCACTAGCTGGTACGTGATATTCTGATACTTAAGTGAATGGATGAATGAATTAAGTGTATAAAGAGTGGATGTTGCTCTTTTTCTACTTATGATAAAGCTCTTAGTAAAGTGAATTTATTCCCTTCACTCCCGCTATTGCTAAGGCTCTCAAGGTGAATTGCACATTTTTAGCAAACAAAGCCAGTAAGTGCAGGGGAACCAGTTCTTCAAGGAAACATTCATTTAAAAAGCAAATGGTCCTTTTGTAATATATATTTAACCAGAGAATCCTATATCCCTGAGATCTCCAAATTGGGAGCTTTGCTTTCCTGCGGCTCACTTAGGATTTGAGAAGTGGGGGTGTGTTAGAAGCTTTATACTAATGAATGCTAATGTTGATAAGCATTCTCTCTGCCAGGTTTTGTATTAATTTCTTTTTTAAAATATATTTTATTGATTTATTACAGAGAAAGGGAGAGGGATAGTCAGAAACACTGATCAGCTGCTCCCTGCACACACCTCACCGGGGATGTGCCGGCAACCAAGGCACATTCCCCTGACCTTTCAGCCCATAGGCCAGCCGACACTCTATTCACTGAGCCAAACCGGTGTCGGCATGTGTTAATTTCTTTAATGGATTATTTCTTTTTTGCTGTTGTTAATTCTTGCCTGAGGATATTTTTCCATTGATTTTTGGTAAGAGTGGAAAAGATGGAGCAAAATAAACATCAATATGGGAGAAACACATCAATTGGTTGCCTTCCGCACACACTCCAACCAGGAGTCTGCAACCAAGGTACATGCTCTTTTAAAAAAAAATACATTTTATTAATTTTTCACAGAAAGGAAGGGAGAGGGATAGAGAGCTAGAAACATTGATGAGAGAGATAGGCTGCCTCCTGCACTCACCGCCCCCCAAGGGAATGTGCCCGCAACCAATGTACATGCCCTTGACCTTTCAGTCCTCTGGCCAATGCTCTATCCACTGAGCCAAATTGGCTAGGAATCCTCATAATAACTTTCAAAAGGCAGGTATCATTATTATCCTCAGTTTATATCTGGGGAAAGTTCAGAGAGGATAGGAGATATACAAACTGGTTCCTGTCCCAATGTAGACGGGCAGATAAAAGCCACTGGCTCTGAATCCTGTGTTTATTTAGAAACATTTGTGACTTTCAAAGATTTCCCCAGAACTCGCAAGAAACGCCTGGAGCCTTAGTAAACAATTTCTAAGATTTAGGGAGAGTTGAAGAGGAACAACCGATTAAAAAATATTTTTTGCTTTGAAAATGTAATGTATACACACGTTTCAAATAACAAAACAAACTTGTATAGGGAGAAAATCAAGTCTTCCATTCCAGTTCCTAATGCCCCTTCCCAGAGGTAAAAACCAATTTCTGTGGATCTTTCCAGAGACACTATTGTTAATAAAAAAAAAACAC